AAAAAAGGATGGCTGGAATGCCGCCCCCTGCAAATGTGCTGCCCCAAACACCTGCTTGTTTTGCTGGTGCCTAGAGCTGGCCCTGCCCCTGCTGTCCGCCTTCCCCAGCAGCCTCAGCTCGCTCGCTCCGCCGCCGGCACAATGCTCTGAGCGGCGGGGCTGTGAGCTCCTGGGGCAGCGCAGCTGCAGAGCCCGGCCTGACCCAGTGCTCTGAGCTGTGTGGTGGCGGCGGCAGCGTGGCCCGGCTTCAGCTGGGCGGTACGGCTGTAGCGCCACCAGCCATCGGTGCTCCAGGCAGCGTGATAAGGGGGCAGGGAGCGGGGGGGTTGAATAGAGGGCAGGGGAGTTTGGGGTGGTGGGTGGGGGTGTGGATAGGGGTCGGGGCAGTCGGAGGGGGAACAGGGGGTTGAATGGGGGCAGGGGTCCCGGGGGGGGGCAGTCAGGAAGGAGGGGGGGTTGGATGGGGCAGCAGGGGGCAGTCGGGACAGGGAGAAGGGGTGGTTGGATGGGGCAGGAGTCCCAGGGGGGCCGTCAGGAATGAGAGGAGGGGTTGGATGGGACGGCGGCGGTCCAGGGGCGGTCAGGGGACAGGGAGCGGGGTGTGTGGATGGGGTAGGGGTCTTGGGGGGGGAACCATCAAGGAACGGGGGGATTGGATGAGGTAGGAGTCCCGGGGGGGGGGAGATAGGAGGTGGGGGCCAGGCCACGACCCCCTCCCCTAACCGGCCCTCCATACAATTTACAAAACCCGATGCGGCCCTCAGGCCAAAACGTTTGCCCACCCGATGTAGACCTTGGCTGATTATAGGGCATCTGGGCTGGAACCCGGAGGTGGGTCAGGTTCCCCAATCCCACACTGGGAAAGTGGCACTTACTTGGAATTGGCACGGATGATTGCTTGGGACAGCATCCAGTTTGTCTGGAGGGGCTTTGGTACCCCAGAAGGGGAAAGCTATGGCCACATGGCCAAGTCACATAGAGAGAGCACCCTAAGTCCTGAAGAGTGACTGGATGAAAGGGAGCCGATCCCCAGACCCAGCTACAAGGGAATGCCAGGAATATATGCAAACGAGAGGGAGAGTGACTGGGATGACGTGCTACCCTATCAGTTATTTGCCTGTTGGTATGTTCTCCAGGAATCTATAGGGTTCACCCCCATTTGATCTCCTGTATGGGAGAAAGGGGAGGGATCTTGGCTGTCATCCAGGACTCCGAGTGGGAGTGGGGAACCAGGGACTATGTACAAAGATTCAGGAAGGAGTTAAGGAACATCATGGAAGTGGTTCAAACTCACCTCACTGGTAGCCAGCCCCCACTGCAGGCCTGGTACGAGCAGGATGCTTGTGAAGACTCCTCAGGATTGGGGGATTTAGTGCCAGGGCAATTCCCTGGAAAAAGGCCCAACCCGCAAAGCTCAGGGGAGGAATTGCACCAGGTTTGTGGAAAGGGAGGATGAAGCCACATGTAGTGTAAAAAATCCCACCGTGAAGTTGCCCCATAGACACTGCACGTGACTAAATCAAAGCCTAGCACAATCGAGAAAACCTTGTGCCTGGGATTTGTTGTGCTGAAGGGGGGGTTGGGACTTCACACACCTCAGTATCTGGTGGCTGAACGTCCGGATGACTCATTACTTGGGAGCACTGAGAGCTAACGCGGACTGAGAGGGCAGAGATCATGGCTGTGCTGCAAAGTCACAAGCAGGTATTTCCTAACGTGCCAGGGAGGACTCAAGATGGTTCATAGGCTTGATACTGCAGGATCCCAACTGCACCCAGCAGGGCACACAGAACCCCTTGCAAATCACAGGAGCAAATTCATACTGAGATACAGGGTACACTGGAAACGGGGATAAGTCAAGAGTCTGATGGCTCCTGAGCGTCTACTGTTGTGTTGATCCCTAAGAAAAAGTCTGCAAGGTTCTGTGTTGATTATAGAAAACTTAATGCTGCCACAGTTCCTGATGGATACCGTATGCCCCAAACCGAGATTTTTTAGGCAAAGCAAAATATCCAAGTATGACTAACCTGGTGAAAGGTTACTGGCAAATTCCTTTAGACCAGACGTGGGCAAACTATGGCCTGCGGGCCACATCTGGCCCGTGGGACCGTCCTGCCTGGCCCGGGAGGCACGCCCCCGGCTCCTCCTCTGCTGTCTCCCCTCCCCCGCACCCTCAGCTCGCTCGCTCCGCCGCCGGCGCAATGCTCTGGGCAGCGCAGCTGCAGAGCCCAGCCTGACCCGGTGCTCTGAGCTGCGTGGTAGCGGCAGCATCGTCGTGGCCCGGCTCCAACTGGATGGCGCAGCTGTAGCGCCGCCCGCCACCGGTGCTCCAGGCAGTGCAGTAAGGGGGCACAGAGCAGGGGGGTTGGATAGAAGGCAGGGGAGTTCGCGGTGGTGGTCGGGGGCGGGGGTGTGGATAGGGGTTGGGGTGGTTGGGGGGGAACAGGGGGTTGAATGGGGGCAGGGATCCCAGGGGGGCAGTCAGGAAGGAGGGTTGGATGGGGTGGCAGGGGTTCTGGGGGCAGTCAGGGGACAGGGAGAAGGGGTGGTTGGATGGGGCAAGAGTCCCAGGGGGGCCGTCAGGAATGAGAGGAGGGGTTGGATGGGGCGTCGGGGGTCAGGGGGCGGTCAGGGGACAGGGAGCGTGTGTGTGTGGATGGGGCAGGGGTCCCGGGGGGCCCTCAGGGAACAGGGGGGTTGGATGGGGCAGAAGTCCTGGGGGGGGGGCATATAGGAGGTGCAGGCCGGGCCACGACCCCCTCCCCTAACCAGTCCGCCATACAATTTACTAAACCCTCAGGCCAAAAAGTTTGCCCGCCCCTGCTTTAGACAATGAGGCACAGAAGAAATCTGCTTTTCTTACAGACATGGGACTTCATGAGTTTAAAATGTTACTTTTGGATTAATTACTGCAGGGACCACTTGTCAATCAACCATGTGTTAAGCAGATTACAAGACTTTGCAGGAGCTTATATCACTGATCTAGCAACATCAGCAACCCCTGGTCACTTCACAACAAACACTTGGGAGCGGAATCTTCAAAACTCAGAGATGCAGGCCTTATGGTAAAGGCATGTTAATGTAAAACAGGAACAGCAACGTTCCTTACTTTAGACGTAGGGAAGAGGGCGGCCAACTCTCTCCTGCTCCCTTGGAAGTGGAAGTTACTGTTAACTGGCCTGTGCCCTAGACCAAAAAGCAGGTCCAGCCTTTCATGGGCTTCGTTAACTGTTACTGATGATTTTGTGCATGGGTTGAGTGACATTGTGTTCACCACAGCGGGCTTGTGCAAGACAAAACCAAAGCCGTGTAGACAAAGGCTTGTCAGGAGGATTTTGCTAAGGAAAGTTCTGGCCAGTCCAGATTTTGACAAAACATTTGAACTCCATACAGCTGAACCAGTCAGTGGTTTAAGTGCAGTACCAGTGCAAGCTGGGGGATAGCAACAAAGCATCCCCTTGTATTCTTGAGCAAGAAACTGTTCAGGGGACATCAATTACTCTCTCACATAAAAGAAAGATGTTATTTGATGGGAAATTAACCAACTCAGGCCTTATCTCTTAACACAAACTTCCAGGTTCTAACTGACTAGTCTCCACTGGTGTGGTTACACAAAACCAAAGGCACCAGCTCCAAACTGCTGGGTGGAGCACAACATCCCAAGCGTATGCCATGGAAGTTGTGCACATTAAAGGGAGAGAAAACGTAGCAGCAGATGCCCTATCCTGGAACAAGGGTTCTGACTCACAACCTCCAGTTCAGCCATTCAGCAGATGCTCCTGCAGCACGGTAAGAGAGGGGAGGTGTGCCCTAAGAGACCCTTTATTCCAACTGGCAAAGGGTGCACAACACCCCATTGCAAGAATATTTAGCTAAACTATGTCCTGTAGGTATCAGATAAAAACTGGTGACACACTGGTCGCAAGTATCTTTGCGTGGTATATGGCAGGTTGAGTAGAACAAGTTCCATATGCCTGGGTGCTGGAAATATGTTCTTAAAATCTGTTTTGGAGGCAGTGGATACATAAGATGTCCTTAGACAAGAAATGTGCTCCACTGCAAACTAAGCAGGGTAACACCAGAGACAACGGCAATACATTTGCATCTAATGTAGACAAAGCAATTGAGCCAATTGGAGAAGAGGAGTAGGGAGACAGCATGGTGTCTGCATGCACAGCAGGGGAGAAAATCTTTATGTAGGGTTATACATCACTGGAAAACAGTTCAAAGGTTCATTGGGCTATAAAAAGGGAGGGAGGGAGCCCCTCAGCTATCTACCACTTAGGGAACATTCGGAACAGAACCCTCTGGGGCTGTGAATGGCAGATCCTCTGGGCCTGAAGGGCAGCAGGTGCTGGGAGCCAGAAAATGTTTTAGGCAAAGATCCAGTTTGCTAACATTAAGTTTTAGGCACGAGAAAGCATATTCTTTTTATTTTGTTTGTAATCCTTCTCTGTCTCTTATTCCTGCCTAGTATCACTTCAAGCTGTGTTCTTTATTTATCAACCTCTTGTTTTATTACAAAACCATCTCAGTACTGTGCATTCAAGGGTGAGACCTCAGCTGAGTGAACAAGCAGGTGCAGGCTCTGGCTCTTTGGAGGGAGCGAACTTAGTTTCTGTGAGTGCCCAGTAAGAGGGACTGGACACTGCAGACACATCTCTAGGGACTGGGGTGCAAGGCAAGGTTTAGACTGACAGAGTCTCAAGGCATTTGCTGGTGAGGCGGACAGACTGGGATGGCAGGGAGCTGCCACATACTTGAAGCTCCAGCAAAGCTCCCTCTTGCTGAGGTGGAGGGGCTCACGGTTCTGGGTTCCCTGAGGACAGCAGCACACACCTATTCTCAGCCCTTCAGCACAAACCCGTTCTCTCCTCCCCCTGGAATGGGGGTGGCTAGAGACAGGAAAGCGATGGGTTCCTCTGGCTGGAGAAGGATGAAGACTGCAGAGTCTGCACTGAGGGTACTGGGCATTGACAGGCAAGGAGGCAGCTGGCACCCCAGGCTCTATCTCCCAGGAAGGTGGATCCATTGGAACAAAGGTCAGGCTGGTGCATGCCACGCTAAGGGACAGAGCCAGCACTGTCCCACATGCCCTGTAGTGCTAGGAGCGGGGATTCACCTTTAACCCCTCTGCCCCATCACAGTGACAGGCCAAGAGAGTGGGGCTAAGTGGTAACAAGAACTCAGCACCCAGCACTCCCACTGAGAACACAGGCTGCTGCTGGGCCAATGGAGATACAGCTAAATAGTCTGTTCCAGAGCAACAGCCACAGTCAGCACAGACCAATGGGCTCTATCTGCCCATGCTCTGCACACACCGGGCCCAGAGCTCTGCGCATTGCTTTATTGAGACCAACCTGAGAAGTGAAGGGGAAAGTAGGGGGCTTTGGGGACACTGTATCAAAAAGCCAGTCGAGTAGGAAAGGCTCCCTGGAAAGTCCAGTGATGAGACGCCAGCTGCCCTGGCTCAGCACGGGCCCTGCTGGATCCAGCTCCCAACACCCCCAGGCAGCCGGTCCAGCACGGGTCCTGCTGGATCCAGCTCCCAACACCCCCAGGCAGCCGGCCCAGCACCCCTCAGGTCCCGTCCAAGGCCTCCCTGCTGCAGGCGCTGCCGCGAGTACGGGGCTCGATGCTAGCGGTTCTGGGATCGAGTGGGAGGTCGTCACCTTCTCCCTGGTGCTGCCGATGCTGCTGCTGAACATCGTGTGAGCTCCTCGGCACGGCCAGCTGCTCGCCAGGCACTTGGGCTTCAGGACAGCTGCAGGAAGGGACAGAGTGAGAACAGGAGTTGCCAAGCCCAGCCCATCAGCCCCCCGCTGGGCACACTCGGAGCCCTGCATCCACCAGTCACTGAGCGTGTCTTGGGCGGGGGAAACGGCCCGCACTGCTGGGATGTGCTGGCCACCAGTTCTTCCCTGGGAAGATGCAGTGGAGGAGGCTGTTAAGCAGGCAGCGCTGGCCTGCCCTCCAGCTGCCTGTAGCATCGCTCTGGAGTGTCTGCACCTGGATGCCAGCGCCAGCACAGAGGGGGCAGAGCAGGCACCCTGGGAGGGCTCAGAGCTCAGCTCTGAGCAGAGAGCAGCACTCGCTCCACGGAAGGAAATACACACCCTGCATAGACAGAGCAGAGAGGAGGGGGTCTGGAAAACCCCCCAGACAGTCACTGCAACATCAGCATGTGCCCCTGGGGAGGCAGGGCCAGACCCCCGTGCCCTCAGTTCCCACCCCACAGCCAGCCGCCAAGCCAGGGGAGAGCCCTGTTAGCTGGCAGCAGCCACAGGTCTCTGATCCCCTCCAGGCCCAGCCCTGATGCAAAGGGCTGAGCACCCACAGCTCAGACGATCCCACAGAGGGGCTGGGACTCAGCACCTGATGATCAAGGCCAGAGCCCATCACAGCCCTGTCCTGCAGGGAAACCTGCATCTCTACTGAGAGCAGGGCAGGGCTGGGGCAGGAGTCCTGGGGGGCTCTCTCTGGCCAGGTCATGCTGGGGTCAGGCTGAGCAATAGGAATGGTCCCAATTTGCCAGGAAATCCACCCAGCCTTCCCAGCACCGATGGCAGCTGCCAGCAGCAGCGCAAGCTGCCAGGAGCAAAGGGGGGTGGATGGGGGACAGGGTTAGCACAGACCCAGGGGAAGGAGTGTGTGGGGGCGGGGAGGACACTGTCTGGGTATGACTCTGCAGGTTCGGCTCATTTCAGGCTCTCCCAGAGCTGAGCTCTGAGCCTGTCGTCGCCCAATCCCCCCTCACAAGGTGAGCCAGGCCCAGGTGCCATGGGGATGGGCACAAGCAGCCACCAGGCAGAGGGGGACTCTGGAAGGGGAGGGATGGGACGAGCCAGACTCCGAGCACGGGGGGGTGGGGGGGGAGAGGAAGAGGAAAGGAACTGACTCAGCTGTGACTGGCAGGAAGCCAATGGGGGGACCACAGATGGGGAACTTCCACACCGTGGCGCCCTCTGCCAGGCTGAACTCTGGTGGGTCCGTGCAGTCCGACCCAAGGCAGCCTTGCATACTCCCACCAGGGAGGGCAGGGCACCAGCTGGACACGTACCTGTGTCTGTCGGGTCATGGCCATGCCCAGGCTCTCGGACGCATCCCAGGGGGGTTTGTTCGTTGTCGGCCTCCTGTCGTTCAGGATCCGCGAGATGGTGCCCAGGGCCTCAGCCAGGCCCTGCAAGTGGGTGCCACTCAGCCCGTACAGTGTGGAAGCTGCAGGACAAACACGCTGCATGGGTCTCGCCCCGTAGCTGGGAACAGTGCCCAGCCCCATCAGCTCCTGAGATAACAGTCTGCTACTGCCGCCTCCTGACAGGAACCAGCCATTTCCCCACCCAGCTCCTGGGATAATAGCCTGCCACTGCTGCCTGCTGATGGAAACCAGCACAGCACCCTCCCCAGCCACTGGTGGAACAGCTCGCTAACACTGCCTGCTGATGGAGTTACTCCATTAGTGCACGCAATGGCCCAGGGGGTGGGGTGCAGCTGAGGGGCCAGATACCGGCTCAGGAGTCTGCTCTTTTGTCTCTACAGACTGCCCCAGTGACTGACAGCTCAGGGACCCAGAGCCTGGCCTTTGGCATTGAGGGGTGGGATTCAACTCACCCACGGACACGGTGTCAGCAAGGGCCAAATCCCCAGAGATGCAGGCTCTTTCTTCCCCGGGCCCAGGAGCCCGGGGATGCTCGGCCTCTTGTGAGACCAGACCCGAGGGTGCAGCAATCAGGCCAGGGCTGATGACAGAGCAGTCCCTGATGGCAGCATCTGACCCACGAGCCGAGCACACAGCCCCCCACAGCCATGGTTCCCCCGGCGGCCAGTGCTACCTTGGGTGATTCTCAGCTCCTCCCGCGCAGCGTCCAGCTCGGCCCGCAGTACCGTGCAGCCCAGGCAGCGGGGCCGTGCCCCAGGGCAGGCTGCGCCGTCCTCTGGCACTCTGTCTGCGCTGCCCTCTCCGTCCCATGGGGAGTCCAAGGATGTCTCCAGGACATCCCCGATCAAGGGGCCGTCCAGCCCCAGGGAAGCACGTCCGGAGCTCCTGCGCTGGGGACTACAGGTCCAGTCACCCTTGGAGCCGGTGCACTCCATCCGCACAAGGCCAGCAGGTGCCTGCTGCTCACATGGGGCGCAGGGCACAGGCAGCTGTGTGACCCCATTCTGAGCCTCCGAGACACTGCTGTCCCCTTGAATGGTGGCTATGCCTTGTGGCACACCGTCCGTCCCCACGTGCTCTCCTGGGCCAGCACTGCACAGCTCGGTCGCCTTCCCAGCTGCTGGGCGTGGCACTGGGGCAGCGTTCTTCTCTGCTTGCCGCAGGTGCCCGGTGCTCTGCAGTGGCTCTAAGCCATTCTCCACTTGCTGTCCCTGCCTGGAGCCCACTCTGTTGCACAGGGGCTGGGGAGCAGCTGGCTTGATCGCCCCCAGGCTCGGTCTCTGCGCCAGCGGGGCGCCCGGCGTGGCAGCTGGGAGAATAAATCACCAAGAGTTACTGCTCGAGAGAGACAGGGCCCAGTCTGGGGCCAAGGGGCTGGGCATCGGGGAGCTGAGTTCATCCGGCTGCGCCCAGACACTCTGGGAACTTGGGCCAGTCAGAGAGGGTCACTGGCCTCAGCTCGGTAATGGGGATGAGAGCATGACACTACCTTACGGGAGGGTCATCTCAGGAACCCATGGCTGAGGTACCGATGACACAGCGAAGTTGCCCTAGGACATTCTCCACAGGTTAACGAGAGCGGGTGCCAGGGAGCGCACTCCCTGATACCTCCTCATGTAGGGCACGTGTACAGAGACCCTCCCCCACCTCCCTGGAGGTCTCCACAGCATACTCAGCCCCATTGGCGGGGTTGGGGGGGGGGGGCGCGGAAATCAGTCAGAGACGCACCTCACTGCCACTAACCCTCCCTACGCTCTGGGGCCGTCAGCCTCAATACAGCGACACCCACTGCCGGCTGTCCTGTGCTGCAGGCATGCGCAGCCAATGTGGGGGCGACTCATGGTATCTCCTGCTAGTCCCCCCGGGGCCCACACCAGCTGAACCCCCAGAAACCAGAGACCAGTCCTGCACTGGAGCCCACCCAGCGCTTCCGAGACAGCAGAATCCAGTGCTGGGGAAAGGAGCCCTCACCCAACAAGCCGCCGTTCCAGCCGTTCTCCTGCCCGCTGGCCCCCTGGGGCGCCCTCTGCCGCTCGGCCAGAAGAGCCCGCTGCACCACACCGACATCCCTGGCCCCTTCCTGGGCTGGCACCCGCGCCTGAAACAACCAGTGTCTCTGCTTAGTGCCAGCTCGTGCAGGCACTGTCCCCAGCACCACACGAGCCCATACCGTGGAGCCACAGCAGTGCCAGGAGTCAAAAAACGTCCCCTGCACCATGGACCAGGCACAGGGCAAGCAGCAATTCTGGTGCCATCACCCCCTACACCACTCTGCTCCCATGGGGAAAGGCCAGGGGAAGTGCAGCATCCCATGTGCTCACCTGGGGCTGCCACCCGGGCTTCTGGGGAACAAGCTGGAAATCCTCTGCCAGGGCCACAGCCTCCTGGCCGCTCTCCGGGCCACGCTCCCGCACCCAGCTCTGCATTTCCTCAGGCAGGAGGCTCAGGAACTGTTCAAGAACCAGCAGCTCCAACACCTGCTCCTTGGTGCGGGTCTCTGGCTGCAGCCAGCGATGGGAAAGTT